GAGAACAAAGTTTGCTACGTCTTTTTGTTTCTTCTTTTACTTTTAAAGAAGGGATGGTGGTTTCTTCTGCTGCCAGAATGTTTCTCACCAACACATTTTTATCAAGAAGAGACATTTAGCAGAGACAGTATTTGTAATGTAGTTTTTATTTCTATTCAACATATATAACCTTTAACTTTCACATTTAAAAGACATTTGGTCATACAGACAACCAAGGACTTTTAACAAATATGTGTTCATAAATATAGTTTCACACAACAGAAAAGTATCTTAGAAGTAATATTAAAGTCCCCAAGCAACACATCTCAATCATACCTATGGCATTGTTCTTTTTCTGAACAAATACTGACAGCACTTATGTATGTGAGTGTGTATGTGAGTACATGCACCTGAGCATGCATATGCGCACATACAGTATATGCATTAATGATGTTTCTTATTTTGTCTGCATGGACTTACGTGAGTGCAAGAAAGGGATTTTTGTTTTAGTGCAAGCCCTGTCTCTTGTGTGTAACATAAATGCCTGTTGACAGTTTTAGACACAGTACTTCCAGAAACACTCAGAATTCCCTGCTCTCTTCCTGAACTGCTTCCGGATGCCCAGCACATGGCTGAAAGGATTAAGGAGACTTTGTTTCTCCAGTAGGACCTGGAAGACAGGATAAAGTAACAGTGTTAAACCTCTTACTTACAGTATGTAGCTTACTTTTCTTTGCTGTTTTATGGATAACATTTGAAGAAAACCCACCTCTCTTTTCATGCCCCTAGGAAGCAGGCCTGTTGTTCTGACACCTGAGAGAAAATAAAGTGGTTATTTTGATATTTGACTCATTAACTCATGTCAGCTTGTTGCATTAGCCATGTTTCTGTGCATGTCTGGCTTTTGAGCAGAGGTAGAGTAACGGTTAGAGAAGTAAACTGTAAAAATGAAGGGGTGTCACTCACACCTCGTTTTAACAACTACAAACTACCTGGTCTTGATCAATACCTCCAACTGGCTGCTTCTGCAATGGTGCAGGTTGGTAGCCAACAATAGAAAACTATGATTATACTGTTATAACCATTTGTATGAATTCAAATTTGTAGCACAATGTGTGTCTTACCATCTCTGTTGATCTCCCCGGATATCAGAGTGGAATATCTAAGACCAGCACCATCCTGAAGAGGGAAGGTTTGCTCAGAGAGAGACAGATCATCCAGACCTCCAACTCCTCGGTCCTCCGCTGATACTGACAATAATCAAACAACCACACAGAGTTGGAAACAGACAGTTGTAAGGTATAGATTCACAGAGTGTACATTTTATAGGCATGATATTTATATGCATTATCTGTGTAGTTTATTCTAAATTATAAACACTTTTGTCATGACGTATTCTAAAGCAATTGATACGATTATATAATATATAATAATATATTCTCTGGCAGCAGAGAAATGCTGCATTAATGGTCCATGATGTGTGAACTTTGGCAGAACAATCAGTGTTCAACACTGTGACAATTAATTCAAGGCCTTGCCTGACATTAATCTTCACAAATTAAGTTTTATGAGTAAAATGCTAATCAAGGTACTGAATTTATTATTTAATATTTTAATATTATATATTTAACAACTATAATGAAGATATTACTTTCCACTCACCAGGTCCTGGATAGGGCATCTCAGCAGATTCTGTGATGGGGTGGGCCAGCAGTGCAGGGCCAGAGGCCACAAGCAGGAAGGCCCACGACAGGAGATGGTTACACTTCATCACTAAAGGATGCTGTTCTTGGAAGTGGCTCTGATTCACACAGGAGCTCCTCAGGTGGAAAGAAGACTTGTACATGCTCTGTTGGTCCCAACTGGGTTATATACCTCCAGCTATAGCCTAGCCCCCCCTTCTGCATGCCACACAGCACACACACACACACACACTTTTGCTGGCCACAACAGCAATATCCACAGTCCCATCCCTTCTAACTGTGATAAATCAACAGGCAGTCACAGGTGAATTATAGGCTCAATAAAAAGACGAGTGCCGTGGTCCATGCTTCAAGGGCACAGTCATGTTTTACCAGCTATTCAGCTTGATTGACTGTTTTACTGACTGTGTAAATGGGATCGAAGCAGGTGTTTCAGATGTCAGTCTCAACAACATCCCATAGGGGAGCAGGTGGACACACTGGGCAGCCAAATGACTGTTTTTATGCTACCAGTTCATTAAACTCTTGGGCCATTTGAATCCTCTTGACTCAGAGCCCACAGAAAAACTCCAAAATTGGAGCTGCATACAAAGCAGTGAGAAGTACTAATAAAACTGCATAATTACTTGCACAGAGCTTCAGTGGAAAGGCTAAAATGTTCAAGGCCTTTTAGTCTATAAGCCATTTGACATTTTAAGTAAATTTATGATGGCAGAGAATTTTCATGGGTCACTGAATCAGACTGATTCATGCACATTATTTAGGGGCCTTGTTCTGGTAAGATGTTATATTTGTGCTTTCACTTATTCTTAGTCATGCAATAAAGCTCAGCTTTATTAGTTCGTCCAGCGTAGATGGACAGAGTCAGAGAAGCTTTCCGATCAGCTTGGAGACTGGGAGGCAGGTGGGGACAGCTATTTACAAAGTCATATTTTGCACCTCTGTATGTAATTTGTATATTTATTAGAAGTGTGACGTCAATGTTCAGTCTCTTGTATGATAATGAGGGTCGATGAAGCGACAGTGACATTTAATTTTATGACCAGAAGGCCAGACACTCCATTAGGTGTTGCTGTATATCATAAAAAGCTATTAAGATTTATATTCTGTATTAGTCAAGGTCCCGCTGCCAATCCCAGCTTATTCCTTCCTCTAAAATAAATGTTGTCTCCCCTGTACTTGAGGTTTATTCTGCTATATATGGGGCCCTCTTTGCAATTCATAAGGAATCCAGAATATCTTCAAGACGCAGGTGTTTTGTAACAAACATGGACATATACTGCACTTTTTTGAGATTCATATGATATAATGTGGATCAGTGTGAACAGAGCAGAGTGGCATTAACAGTAAATAAATTTAAATTATTATTATGGTGTTACAGAATAGAGAGATGGTTGTCGACATCTTAACCATTTACCATATGCAAAATTCTGAAGCTAAAGTTAACTAAAAAAAATACGTATTTGGACCCCTGATATGTGAATCCTTTACCAGATGTAATAAATAAATTAATACCATTGCTAATGTCCATTTAAAATGTTAAATATGAAATAAGTATGTATGAATGTGAACACTTAAGTAGAAAATGTAGTGCAAAATGTGACAAATGAATGAAATTGCATGTTTCTGACCAGAGTGGTGCATGGCCTGATTAGATCTCAGCTGCCAGGTGGTTTAAAACACATCAATGTATTCTGTGAGTGTATCATTTGTTTTTTCTGAAAAAGAAAATCTCAATATAAGCAGCTGTGAACCAGTTGTGAAGTACGTTTGTCTTGTAATAGCAGACAGTACGATGGTTCTATTTAGGACATTTTTATTTACTTCACCACTGAAATAACCCCATAGACACTCCAGATGGTGCAGTTTCATATATGTAAGTATAAGTACATTTACTCAAGTATTGTACTTAAGTATTTCCATTTTCTGCTACTTTAGGCAAATATTGGACAGTTTACTCCACTACATGTATTCAGTAACTTTCAGATTCAGATTCTAATAAATAATGCAAACATAATCAACAAAAGATAGGAGATAAGACAGGAGGCAACCAAATAACATTACCTCCAGCTGCAACATTAAAGTATGCATAATGAGTATGTTTGTTATTTTACTTAAACATTTTAATGCATAAATTGCTACTTTTATTTAGGCAAAAGATCTGAGTACTTCTTTCACAACTGCCTGGAAGGTTTTTGTTGCTTGTTGACAATATTTGACCTCATGGATAGTTGACTGACATAAGTAGGCTACAGCCAGCAGAGGGCAATATTATGTCTAGAAAACCACGATAACCGTGTAATACACCACTTAGTTTCCAAAGTCTTCAGTGTGGCTCTGAGGGGAAAAACATCTTCATAGACAATCTTCTTCTTTAGTTCTCCCTCTCTCCCACAGTCTTCAAATAATCTCAGATTGACAAAGTGCAAAATGAATTTGCCACACAACCTGTAGCCCTCAAAATCTAAAATATCCTATAAATTCTAACCATCACTGACATTTACAGGACGCATTTTAAAGCAGCATATTATCGAAAATCTGGTAGAAATTAGACTTTTATTTATTTATTTATTTACACAGTAGCAAACTGGATGAATGCAGTAATGACTGTAATGATTAAATTTCACAAATCAAGTCATGTTCAACTTTTTCTTGAACCAGAAGCCAAGTTAAATGTTTTATATGCTGTCAATGTCAATCAGATTCTACTTTAAAACTTATAGAGTTGCCAAAATGGTCACTTTGCAGAACCAGGCAGTTTTCTTCTCAGTAGTTTGTTTCACCATTTCCCCCCATCTTTATTGAATTAATACGGTTCAATAATAAAATGAAGACTATAACATTTCCACTTTGGATATTTCGGCTACAATCTTTAATGATTGGAACATTCCACTGGTTGAGTGCTGCCTTCAGAAACTGTTAGAAATATTGGCACTCGCTGAGCAGGCACGACCGTGTGTGCGTAGGCCCGTTGTGATATTATGTGGGAAAAGTGTCACCAACTGCAGGTGAAAGTCTACTGTTGTGTGGTCGTGAAATTACACTACCTCGCCCCTCTCTTAGCTGCTAACCCTTTTGACCCGAGTTGTCTGATCTTTGTAGCCTGATTGCCAGCTTTAGTCCACAGGTCTCGCTAAACTGTGCTTTCTAATATATTCTAACATCAGTGGGTGTATTTACCTCTCCATATGTACGACTAAAATTGGCACTTTATTGGCGGACATCGTGATTAGCCTACATTGTTGGCACGGACAACTCTGAGCTTGGAGGAGTACGTGAAGGCAGCAGCCTGTTAACCGCCCCCGCTGCTGCCGAACAGGAGCTGTGTAAAGAAGAAGCAGCCGAAGCGACAGACTGTGGGTTAAGTTTGTCCGCCCTGGCTTCCCATCGCTAGTCAACGGGGGCTTTTGTTTCATTGATGAACAACAACCTTAGGTTTCGCTTGAAAAAAAATTCCCAGCAAAAGAAAGAGGCGTTAGAAAACGGTCAAGCACGTTCGTGACATTTTGTATCATTTGGAGAGACAGTCGGGAAAAAAAGAGAGAGGAAGGGAGGGAGAGGAGAGAGGGAAAAGTGGGACGGAGCAGGCGACTCTAAAGTTGACGCTGTCATGTTTGGTACTTGTTGAATAGGCTGTGTGTACATACACAACACTGGAGCCTGTGTTGGCAGCGTGCTGCGAACAGGTAGGTTATAAAACAATGGCTCTTTGGACTGACTGCATGTTTGTTTGCTCGTTAAACACGTGGCCAACTGTAACCACAGGTACTGTTTTACCATATAGGCTCTAGGTCATGTTAACAGCAGCACTGCTGGAGAGTTTGTCTTTAATAGGTTGGGAGTTTTTGCAGGAACGTGTCGAGATAAACCAGTAATATGTTTAACTGGAAGACACTAATGTTAACTAACTACTTGGGCATTTCATTTAGAGAGATACTAACTCCAAATATCCCCTTGCTGGTGTCAGGGTGTTGTGTATCACCATGAGGAAGTGACAGACCAGGGACAGACCATGATGGCAGAGCTGGAAATTGACCAGACCAACCTTCCACGTGTCCAAGAAGGTAAGGACACACACTGCACACACAGACCCAACTCTGGCATCTGCAGACAATTTAAGCTGTTTAGTATAGGAGGAAAAAATGTACCACGTTTCATGGTCTGTCCTGGAGGAAAAAGTTGTTTTTGTTGAGCCCCCTTCAGAGGGAGGTCAGAGGTCAGGGTCAGCAACTGAGCTGCAGACATGGAGCCAGTAGGGATTAAGTGTTGGATTCAAGGACACTTAAGCACAGCCGCTATTAAGGACACACTTGTCCGCTGCATCCTTGAGAGAAAATGACACTTGACAATTTACCATAGTCAGGTTTTTTTTTTTTATTAGAATAACTGATCTTGACACCAAATGGCAGCTTTTCCTCTGAGCTTGTGTGTCTGTGCTTGTGTGTCTGTGCTTGATTTCTGTGGCATCCATACTCCCATCCCAGATAAGATGTAGCTTGCTACATGTTTTGACTATATCCTGCAGACACAAGTTCAGACACACAGCTGTGCAGAGATGGATCTAATCAGAGGCAGGTCTGGTGTGCTGGGTGCAGATAAAAGTGAGGAATGAGATGAGCTTGTTTGTGAGATGTGAGTTCATGGGGGAAGAAAGTGTGGTCTGACCTTGCAATATAAAGAATTGCCTATGTCGAATACACAGTTCCAAAAACTGGAAAACATCATAACTTAAACCAACAATCATGGTGTGTGTGTTTGGTCTGCCACAGACTACAAGCGTGAATTGACTGTCCCAACATTCAGTTCAACAAATGAAAACTTAACATGCACAGACAGAATTTGTTATTGTCCCACTAATGCAGCTCTTAACAAAATGAATTTCCTCTGCTTGCATGTAAAAACATTGACAGGTAAGGAATGTCTAAGCTGTAGCCTGGGTGTAGACCGTTGACTCAGTCTTTGGCATGTCCACACTAATGAATGGGATAGAAATAGGTCTGCATGTCTTTTATCAAGGGAGATAATTCAGCACTCCACTCTTGTTTCCATACACAAAGGGCACACTGTGCAGCTCTGCATTTTCATGCTTTATCGAGCAGGGGCCAGTGCACAAACAAAGCCTGTAATAGCGGCGATAAACTCCTCATTGAGACAATAGGAGCACGTAAATCATGACGTCTGGTCAGTGTTAATTTTTTCCGCTCATCATCTTCTTTTCACCAGACTGATTTGTCAAACTGTGCCGTTGGCTGTCTCTCTCTGTGACACTGTGGTTGTTGACTTAACTTCCCATTGTGGGTGTTTATGCTTCAATTTCCCTAAGAGCCGTAGATCCCCGTGTCCCACTTCTCCTTCACTTTACTCCCCATCTGAGAGTCTCAGCCAAGTCAACTTTCTTTGTTTTCACTGCCCCCCTTATCAGTTCCTGTTTTGTCCCTCCTCTGGCTGCTCCTGATATAGCCTGATGTGCAGAGGGAATGCAGCTCCCAGAGGAATTCCCCCCCCCCCCCCCCGACTCCTAATTTCACTCTCACCAACTGACCCAGAGTCCCATTACCCCTCAACCCTCTTTGTTCTCCATGACCACTTGGTCCAGTTCATGAGCTTGGCTGGTCCAGTTCACCTAGTTCATAACACAGCGCAGAGAGCTGTAGGACGGACAGACGCTTCATGGTGAAATTTTGTGCAAAAAGCAGCGAGTAGGAGAACAGAACAGACCAAAGAGAGAGAGAGAGAGACAGCGTGTGGGCGGTCGGTGGGGGATTTTGGCTGAAAATAGAACCCTTGTCATTTTCTCCTTTCGCCAGTTTCTTTGTTTGGCAGGCACTTGCTACTGCTGCTATCCAAGTGGCTGCGAAGATGAAAGAGAAATATCTCTGTCGGTGTTTGATCGGCTGCTCTCTCGCGCTGGATGCCTGAGATAATCTGCATAATTTTGTTTTAAGGTGATTGGCTGTCATTTCTCTAACGTTGGTGGGAGCTCTTCTACTGAAAGACAAAGCACACGCATTCACCTATGAGATTTAGTTACTCACACATTTTTTTTGGATTTTTGAACACCGGTAATGGGGAATATTTGTAAGGGACAAGAGGCATTAAAAGAGGAAATCATTTCTTTTGTTTTGACTGTTTGGGCTTTGAGGTCACACAGATCGTGGTTTCCTGCTCTGTAATATCCCCTTTAGCAGAGACAGTCTTCCCACACTGTTGGGGAACATACTGGGTGGTTGCTAACATTTTAAAATATTATCTACTTCTTCTCATTGCTTTGCAGTCCTCCCCCCCCAACCCCTTTTTTAGACAATTTTACCCTTCAGTGGCTCTTAGACTCTGCTGTTAAAATGCCGCAGCCAATTTCTGTTGTCTGCTGGATCTCTGATTTACTATCCTCTTAGGAAACAGCCAAACAGGGTCCTTTCAGTGCCCTTATTAAGAAGCTTACAGTAGGAGTCTCTGTACAATATTGAAAACACACTCGGCTCAGACTCACACTGAACATGTGGCTGTCCCTCAAAACCTGTTTTGCAGTCATAATAACAGTCACTTTGTCCCTCCCCTAAGAAGGGTAATGTGATCGTAGTTTTAAAGGAGTTTGGAAAAACAAGTTAACCCGCAATGCAGACACACCCACAGACACTTGCGCGCTAACACGGACAAGACTTGTCATTTTCCTCCTTTCTTTCTTACGTTCTGCTTTCTGAGTTGGATTTAAGGCTAAACGTAAATGTTTTGAGGTGACAATTTGTCCCGTTGGATTAAAACCAAGCCTTTGGGTTAATCCCTCCTCACTGACAGACTGGACACATAAGGGCAGGTTGGAGATCCATTTAGCGGATAGTCTCTTAAGCTCCACGACAGGTGTAAGTGGTAATACATGTCTGTCTTGGTATGGGTTAACTCGGTGTAGACTTATATGGTCCTTTATGGTGCAAACAGACTCTTTTGATGGCTTAGTGCTGTCTGGATGTTTTCTATGAACTTTGACTGCTGAGCCCCTGTTGACTGAAACATACCCCGAGACTTAGTTGTTGTGGTTTTTTTCCATTTTTAGGATTTACAGAATAGAGTTTGGCCACAATAATGTTTCTGAAGCCTGTTTTTCCTCACTTCCCTATTTACAGAACTGGACAAAGAGGAGACATTTTCATTTTGACTTGTTATATCAACTCGGAAGCAATTCTGTAAATGTTTAAATTTAGAACATGTTCTAGTTGTTTATGCAATAACGAAAGAGAAGAACATTTGGAAGGGTATGAATGTAAAAACATTTGCAAGATAGGGATCAAGGAATGTGCGTATGTATGTCTTTGAAAAAAAAAAACATACCAAGTTTGAAGGCACAAAGAGAAGAATACTTACATTTTGGTATGGGTCAAATGTTTGCTGTTTCGTGTGTTTTCAGTTAGCCGCAGGGGCGGTCACAGCTGTTCTATAGAGTGTAGGCTGGATACATTTTATGATGAATCTTGAGACCTCGCATTCATTCTCGTCATCCATGACATCCTCCAGCGAACCTTCGGCTAGTAAGTGAACTTCCAGGGTCTTTGTTTGTCTTCTATTCATCCAACTTTCTGTTTTATATTTGTACTTCTTCTGACAAAGGAATCAAAATAGCACAGTTGAAGCCTTAAGCAAATAACCCGAGAAATAATTTCTTAACTTTGTTTGCTGACATCTCCCTTACACTGCTTACGGTGACAGTCAGTTTCACATGCACACAATTTCACATACTGCATCATATTTGCATCCTAAAAGTACTATTGGCATGAAACAAATAAAGTTAGCATGTTTTCCTAGGACAGAGTTCCTGATAATATAGAAATATGTCTAAAATGTTTGTTTTAGTTATTAAAATAGTTTATGGTGTCACAGCAGTGTAAAATACATCCTGGCTTTCTATAGCTAGGTTAAGAGCTTAAATGGGTAATTAAACAACATATGGCATTTATGTGTGTCAAGTCAGCTCATAAACTGAATACTTGAGTAAGCATTAAGAGCATGGATGTAAATGGAGCCGCCACTGTCTCCACAGGCGTGGCACAGCCGGCTCAGTGGAAGGATTATTAGTAGGACAGGTGTTTTTAATTGGCCCTGCTTCTGGCTCAGGCTGGAGGCTTTTCACTCTGCAGTGAGCTAAATCTCCTCTTAAACACTGTCTTCTGCCCTTCTCCTGGCATTTGAAATCTTCGCTGTCGGATAAGACAGCCATTCTGCGTTCACTGATGAAACTCCGTGCAAAAAAGTAGTAAAGCAAAGCGTTTTTAAGCTGTGGAAAAAACAGCTGGGCCACAGCGCTGCTGTCTGTCCGTGTTTATTTTTTCTTGAGTAACTTTTGAGTTTGTTTGACAGACTTTAAACACACATGGGCTGCAGCACATAGAGCCTATCGTGGCTCATTAAGGACTACTGTAAACACTTGGCATGTTTATAGATGAAAATAACAGTCCACAAATGCTGAAGCTATGAAAACCAATGCACAGATCAAGGAGTAATGCAAAAAAATATATAAAATAGATTCTGGTCAAAACAGAGCAGGTAACTATCTCTTGACCTGACTGTTTGAATGTTTGGGAACACATTCTTTGCATAACTGTGTCTTAAGCTCTTGTGCCGATATTTAAGTCCTTGTCTTTGTCTGTTTTCTGACAAAAAAAGGACAAATCTAGAGAGCGTTAATGACATGAAACCGATATGTTTTATGATCGTATCCAGCAGCAGGTGGCCAGACTATGGGATCATGGGATAGGGAACACTCGGTTCGCCTCAGCGTCCCTCGATATGGAGAACCAGACTGAGCTGGTGTACAGAGAGCTCTTAGCTAAAGCCTTTGGATTTACAACAGCCTTGCAGACTTTACTTTACATACATTTGTACCATCTGCACAGGCTTCCCAGTACAAATGGATGCAGGAGGTAGTTCCTAAACTTTGCATATTCATTTGGTAGTCAGAGTTAGGAGATCAGTAAAAGAAAAGCCATGTATATATCTCCTAATATCCTTTCAACAACTATTTTAGAGATGAAAGCTTTTACATTGATGTGTATATATAAATTATGCATGGACACTTAGACACACATGCAGAGTCACACTGTTGTTTGTGTTAGAATGAGGTGGACCTGTTGCTCTGCCACTGCTAAATCTAGTACTTTCAGAAGGACAGTAATAATTGTGGTCACTTGCGTGTTTCTCTGGAACACGAGTACCCTGTTAGGATTTTATGAGAGCCTTTTATATATTTAACAGGGAATTCATGCCAGCGTGGTGAATGGCTGCTTTTTTTCCTAAAGTTTTGACAATCCTCCGCCTTTGTCTGTGCCGAATAAACAGCAATCATGACATGCAGCACTTGTATCCTATTGTTTTCCTTTGGACAGAGTGCTGAACCCAAAGCTCCACAATATTGTCTCTTTTGAAGCCATCCAAAGGCTCAGCTCTTGTTAGCTCTTGGATGGAGCCATACAGGGCCAATCACGATTGTTGTCATTTTTCTGTTGCTGTTGTAGTAATCATCAAGCTGCAAAAACTGCTCACTTACAACACTTATAGCCACCTTCCATTCATTTTTGAACACTTTTTGTATGATACTGAAGTGTTGCTGTCCTCTGTTGTTTCAGTTTGCCAGTGTTTTGCTGTGCTGGAGGATGGGGTGTTAGCCCACAACCTGCAGGAGCAGGAGAGTAAGTACAGTGTCAAGCTACTATGTGACAGAAGCACAGCTGCACTTTACAAACGTGTAGTCGTGTATATTATGTGGACAGCTTTCCAATCTGTCTCAGTGACCTATGTTGCAGGGCTTCATTTTTAGTTATCCTTTTAAAGAAATTAGCTAAGGATATACATATACTGTACAGCTATTAATACAAATAACAGATTTACAATAAAACATACATAAAGCCTACAAGGAGCTTTGTGTTGATTCTGGTGGCCCATGGGGACAAAAGCGTTTGTGTTTCTGCCACCTTGTTTGATTGATTTAAAGGGGAGTGCAACCGAACCTGACCCGGTGGCAGGCATTAACAATAACTACATAGAAATAGCCAATCTTTTCGCTGACTGTCTCGTTTGTTTATGTGTTTCATAACCAGTTTCAAAACTCATCGTATGTTTAAAAGACCAGTGTGTAGGATTCATTGGCATCTAGCGAAGAAGTTGCAGATTTCAGCCATTTGAATACAGCTCCGCCTTACAAGCTTATACGAGAAACTTGCTTAATGTAGCTGAGAAGTGAACTATCTAGAGACAGTGTTTGGTTTGTCCTTTTTGGACTTTTTTAGAAACATGTTGATGTTCACCATGGCGGCCACCATCATATCTACCACCTGTAGATAAAAATGTCTCATTTTAATGTAACAAAAATATCTTATTTTCAGGTGATTATGCAGGAAGGAAAAAATACCAATGACTATTACATTCCATTTCTGTCAGTAGATCCTCCTAAATGTTACACATTGGACCTTTTAAGTAAAATGCATCATTATTCTTGTGGTGTACCAAGTCAGACTGGGAGACCTAAAGCACTTATTTTTGGTTAGCTTTTGTCTGTAATCGTTATTGTGGGATGTGAAACAGTAAACAACTTCACATGTAATTTGGTGTCTGTTTTTAAAATTCCTCAAAAGTACACTGTGGGCCAAGCATGCCACAAACAATGTTTCAAATAAACAACACAACAGTCATGAATACTCAAAAATCAACAGATTTAGACTAGAAGTAATATAGTAACTTTATTAATTACCCTAACCTAAATCATATATTGCCCTTCATTGCCACATATTGAAAATCATCTTACCGTCTGCCCTCTTCTCTGCCTTGCCCTCACAGTCGAGCAATACTATACCACCAACATCCAGAAGAACCAGCTAGTGCAGAATGACATCCGTGTAGCCAAAAGGCTGCAGGATGAGGAAGAGGAGCAGCGGGCCCAGCAGAGCGACCTCCTCAGACAGGCCTCCAGACAACTGTAGGTGACCCTTGACCCCCAAAACACACTGTAACACTGCTCATACTGCTGCACTACTCGGATATTACTGTGTATATTAATGTTCCCTAACCCTACGCTGTATACCTTTACTATGCAGATTTATTTTCTCATTCACTATGTTGTATGATGTGTTGCTAGTTGGGTTAGTAAGTCACAAATGTAAGAAGTCCTTTTCTTTCCTGACTCTTCCATAGAGAGGAGCAAGACTTTGAGTATGCCCGTTTAATTCAGGAGGAGATCCAGCGTTGTGCTGAGGAGGCCCAGAGGAGGGAGCAGGACGATGAGGTGAGCCCAAACTGTTGTAAACCGATTTTAATTATGTCTGTATCTAGTTTAAATTCCTCCAAGTAATGCATTAAAGATCATGTCATATTTAAAAAAAAAAAAAAAAGATTTAACTTTCAATTATGTGGACATTCAGCCTGTTCTGGTGGTCACATGGTCAACTATACTTTCACATCAACTGCATGGACAGGAGTTTTACAGCCTTTCCCACAGTGAATATATGCATCAGTTAGATTTATGCAGACGTTTATATCTTTAAATGCTCAGACCAGTATAAATCTGTATAAAGGTCAGTTCTGACATCACATGGATTTGCACCTACTCGTCATTTATCCACTTACCACCCACCTCAATATGATAAATCTTTTCAAATTGTAAATCTGCACCCATCAGTGTCGGCATAATACCATTATATCTCAGTCAGCGGGCTGCTACACACAAGCTATTATTATTTACTGTAGCTTTTTAAATGAATAGACCCCATACCTGGCATACTGACAGCAGACTTACTAAATCATGCCAGACAAAAATGAAGTCTCAGCCCCATCTAGAGCCAGTGTTTAGTTTGTCCGTTCTGTAGAAACATGGCGGAGTCCATGGAAGGCGACCCCGCAGTGCCGGTAGATAAAAAAGACTCTTTGTAAGGTAACAAAAACATGAAGGTTCTGGTTATTATACACTACTAAAAATATAGTTAAGCATATTATATTCCATTTCTGCCAATAGATCGCCCTAAATGTTTCACACTGGACCTCTAAATTCAAACCTCTGTGATGTTAAGCTTAGCTTGAGACCAAATGTTGTCCCAGCTGAAGTAGGTGCAAACGTGACAGCAAAGTTTGCAAAGTGAAATATTTTGAGGGATTTGCTCTTGAAAGAGGAACAAATCCTTTCATTGGGGTATCAAGTTCCTGACAGGAACCAGAGCAGAGCAAGACACTGTACTGTATGGACAAGATTAACTTGGCACAATGCAGTGACAAAACAGAAACTGAAGTAAGACTTAAAGTGATACTCTGCCCCAAATTTAGATTTTGGGTATACCCCTCTGCTGGCCTGATAGCTGGCTGTTAAAACGCTGGTAGTTTCCTCCCTCACAGACAAAGTGGCTGTTTTATCAAAATGTCCGTTGAAAAACGCTATCTAGATTGAGACACAAAAGAATAAAAATGTTGAAGTCTGTAGGAAGGTTTTGGTGGTGCACAAAAGCAGAAAATAGCTGCTTGTGAAGGGAGATTAATGATCGTGTCTCAAACTACAGCACTGTCTGCAGACAGAACTGGGCATAATCTAGAGGGGCAACCATGGAAGTTGGCACAAACTTAAAATAGCACCAGTATTATCCTTCAAGGTCAGCACGTTCAGCACAGGGACGCGTAGAGTTATATGGCACTCGGGACATACTTGTATATCATTTAATTATCTGCCTGTTACCAGCAGGTCAGGGAGTATCATATGGTTCACTTTGCCCTCTCTTAGGACTAACTGAGTCCATAATGAATGGCGGTTGCAGCAAAGTGCTGCTCTGGGCCTCTGATGTATCCAGTGTGCGGTAAGAAGGCTGTAGAGCAAAGTCAGCTGTTAAACAGAGACACAAGCTGTCAGCTACCCATCTGGATGATGGCTCAAGCAATTTCTCTGGTGGTTGATTCCAGACATGGACCATCAACCTCTTCATACAGAGTGCATTCATGTGGGCACTATAAATCTCACTGGAAGTCCGTTAAAGGCAGTTGGAGGAAGAGGCAGGTTAAATAAAAACATTATCTAAGTGCAGTGTTTAATCAAGAGAGTGACTCAGCCCTCATTTGGTTATCCTTTCCATTTAATGGTTTAACTTTGTTACTGGGTTTCCAAACAGGTTTGTCAAACAATGGAATTCTGTTTTTAAATGTTTTTTTCTTTCTTACTTAACTGTCATCCTAATGACATTGGAAGTTTTATTAATGGATAATTCTCTACATTTAAGGTTACAACAGAAACAATTCCATACATTCCTGGCTGTAGATTCTTCGTCTTGTTTTAGTTGTGAACAACTTTTAAATAAATTAATTCATATATTTATAACTAGGTACTGCTGTGATAGTTGTTGTGACATTTATGTTGTCAATTTTCTCTACTCTACTAATTTGTGTTACAGCACTAGAGGCAAAACTTTGTAAATGCAAAACAATTTATCGTGTGATCCAAACCCAACGGGGCAACCAGATGGTTCCCATCAATCACCCAGCCCCTCAAAAACTTTTTTGTCTGTGCTTTTTTACTGCATGCGTGTGCATTTCTGCTTTGCAAAAACAATAATCTGACTGCCCACCAATAGCAATCAAGAGTTGAGCTGTATAAGAAGAAGAGCATTGTGGGGGAAAAAGCCAACTCTGCCACGAAACTCCCCAGCTGGTTTAGTGGAGTGGTCTGCGTCACAAGGCCGCTCCAGCATAATATTTTCCTTTACCCTGCAGTTTCCTTTTTAGAGGAGGCTGCATTGGACGGGCTCATAAAAGGTCCTTGTTTGGAGAATGTGAGGTCAGAGAGGCTGTGGGGTTCATTCATCATTATTAAAGGAGTTGGGTTTGAACTCTGTTGGAACCAACATGACACAGTTACACAGTTAAATAGTAAGGCCTCATTTACCTTCTGGGTTGAAAGTCATGCAAGGTTACCGGTATGCAGCATGTTTTATGAGAGTATCTATTCCTGTGTGTATGCATTCATTTCTTTTTATGACTGTTGATGTTGGAATCAAATAATGAACTGTCAAAACTCCCGTTAGCCTACCTTTCTTAATGATTGGCTGATCAGAGGTGTTGATTAAATATTTGCCTCCCTGTAGATTGTGTCTTTAATTAAGAAACAGAAGGCGTCAGGCTGAGCTGTTTTAAATGCCAGATCCCTGTGGCACTCCACGCCTAACCTGCCATGGCAAGCTGCTAATTGTCTGCTGATGCTGGCAAAGTGGCTGACACACACACGCCCTGATTGCAAAGCAAAAGGAGCTGTGTTAGCTTTTAGTTATGATTTATGTTGCAAATGCAGCCTACGGAGACATATTTTCATATTTCATAGAATTCACGGGTAGAATTTGCTGATTTGTAGGTAACATTATTAGCTCTGGCCTTCCCAAGAATAGCAACACAGAGACATGGTGGGGAGGTTCTCCTTCAGAGAGCAGACAAGTATAAGCAGCTTTGGTAATAGCAGGCATTCCCCAGTGACAAGGTGTTACTTCAAGTGAAACAGTCCTGTTGACCTGCTTCTGTTGGAGTTTTTCTGGTCCAGAGTTCAGGCTGAAGCAAATTAAAAGTTTACTTGTCCCTCAATCAGACTCCCAATTTCAAATGACTCTGCCACAGCCCTGTCTACAACTGTTAGTTTGGTCACCTAGAGCTGCCTTTTGTTAAACAGCCGCTATTAAGATGTTAGATCAGCTGACATTAGCACTAAGTCACCCAATATGGGCCGGCATTTGGTGTATCCTCTTCTGTAGACACGCCAGCTGTAGGTGGATTAGATTCTCTTCTTGATGTAAACTCGTCTCGGTCAACTCCAAACGGAGCTTGAGAGTTTGGTCCATGTTACATTCAGTTACTTTGATGCTAATAATATGTAGATTAAATAAAAGAGAGCTGAGTAGGTTTAAGACAAAAAGTGGCATGAGGTAAAACTCTACACATCTGCAGTGTAACAGTATTTTTTTGTACATTTATGAAAGATGATCACATAAAAGAGATTCCATCCTTGTGGTAGAAAGAATCTCCAACATTAAAGTCTGTTTCTTGTATGATTTTGTGATTAGGGGGAAACTGTTGTCGCCTTGTTTTTTTTTTTTTACACCGTCTATGTTATGCTGCCATCTACTGGTTGAAAACCACACAGTATACATGATGTCTGATGAGAAAATTCCAGTCATGCCAACTCATGATAGCACACCAGTGGTATAACCTGACTGTTCAGGGAGTGGAGCTTGTTTTGACATTTTGTAATGCATTCATCCAGATCATTTCAAATAGAAGATGGCCTTATTATTGACAGTGATACAGGATAGGGTTGAGAGGTTGTAACACAGTCACTCAAATCTAGTTGACAATTTGTCTCAAAGCCTAAAAAGTACTACTAACAAGTAATCATCATGGCTGTGTCTCCAGGAAATAGCTAAACGAATGCAGGAAGAGGAGAAGCAGAGAATCAGGAGGAGGAGCAGAGAGCAGGAGGGCCTTACTGAAGGTACAGTTTAAGTTTTGCCATTTTGTTTAATGTTTTGTTGGCTGTATGCTTATGTGTCAACATTAGTTTGCAATCCTAAAATACTGCCAAATCATTTTAAAGAAAATGATGATGTTTGCATTTTTAAGAATTTGCCATTTTGAAAAAAAAGTATCTTATATGTGCATTTGCAGAGATTTATGGAATTACGCGTTACACTTAAAATATTACAGGACTTGTTTAGCTTCTTACTAACCGTGCTTTGCTCTACTGCTTATTGTTATATAAATAATTCTCCACATATATTAAAACAGCATGATCACAGCATAGCCTGCACACCTATTGCACTATACTATTATCTTCATAATGTGTTGTGTTTTTAATTAGTTGCATGCATATAACATGTCTTGTATATTCTCTTTTATGCATGATTGTATATTTGTATGCCAGTTTATAAATGCATTGGAATGCCTCAGTTGTGTAGAACATTTATATAAATCTTGTAACAAATACTCTTAAAGCAACATAATGTAAGATTTTATATTTTTTGTGATTTGACTCCCCCAGTTTGTGCAATTCATTTATACACCTCTTTCATAAACTTGGACAGCTGTACACATGCATTTGTTATAACTGCATATAACTTACTTTGCTAACACATCAAACATCAAGCATGTGCAACAACACAAGATATAGCAAGCCAGCTAATATTAATTATTAGTCCAGCAGCCGGAAGCCCAGCTCGATGTCTTGCTGCCTTTTATTTCACAAAGCTCTCACCAATAACAAAAGCCAGTCCAAGATTTACTCTTGTCCAGCGGCCTTTTGCTTGGTCACTCACTATTTTTTACTCGTTAGCGCCGTCCGTCAATGTTCCCTTCTGTCTCTTTGCCTCGGCTATGTCAATGGAGGTCGCGGCTCTGTTGCCCGCTTTCCCAACTCCGGCTCTGGCATGACACCGGCTCCACTCTCCCATTAGCATTTCCCTCTGGCTCCACCTCGCCGTGGTCCTGAAAACCTCCTCCTCTCAGCAGCCCAAAGCTTCTTTACTAGTGGTGTAAATACCAACACTCCCCCAGTGGTTTGAGGTTCCAGTCCAGACAGCACAGACTGAGCTTACTTGCTTAGCGGTTTACTTACTTTAACAATAAGTAAAGCTTTCTGTCCATCAGGGAACTCTGTTAATAACTAAGAGTTGAGGCAGAGCAGCAGGAGAACATCAGAGGGAAAACCAGATTTTTATTTTTATTTTTCACAATATGATCCACCAAAATTGACATAGTTGGTGGTGTGTGACTCAGTGCCATAAATCTTACGCACACAGGAGATTGTATCCGCTCAACCCAAGTTATATAGTGGGAGAACATGAATACAGGACGCAGAGTGGGAATGACAGAGGTACCATTGACCGTAATACAAGTCAGTGGAGCATCAAAATCATTTTGAAGTTATTTTTTCAAGTTAGGACAGCTACATAATGTTGCTTTAAGTGACATGCTGCTATATTAAATGCAGTGTCTTACCTCATCATTAACTGCACTTGTCTAATAATACCCGCTAACAGCCTCATCCATCCTCCCTGCTTTTGTGTTTGCATGTTTGGCATTACTAAGGCAGCGCCAGCGATCCTGCACTGCCATCCACTCATCAGCACACACTCAGCAGCCTTCATCAAGGGGAGGAGCAGTACTCATCTACCACCACCAGGTGGCAATGTTCTACCTCTCAAAACCATTCAAACTTAACTGAGCCTCAGGCTGACTCCCCCAGGGGGGTAGCAGCTCAGAAAAGCACAACTTCATGGTCAAATCAAGGACACACTGATTCTTTCAGGGAAATCAGGAGAGAATTAGGAGAGGCCTTGAGTGAAGATTCAGAGGACTCGGACACTGTCTTTTCTGAACAGCTCTCTGTCTTGTCCCGGAGACTGAATGAAAGACTCAGCATGGGACCTCCTCGACGGCAGGCATCCCCACATCAGCCACAAGAGAGAAAGTACAGAAGTCTTTGCTCTCGCAGCAGCTTCCCAGATGAGCTCAGAGTTTGGGAGGAGGAGAGAGGAGATGATGAGGACAATTATGAACATGGCGACCTAGAGAAGAGGAGGCCTAGGAAGTGGGATCAGGAAAGAAGCCATAGAGAGGAATATGAGGGTTTGCACAGGAGAAGAGATCAGGATAGAGACTCTAGTTTAGGTGAGGTGAGAGAAAGGCGATGCAGTCGCAGTCAATCTGTCAGGCAACATGACCGGAGTAGACATAACCTAGCAAGAACTTGGAGTTACAAGGACAACCCTGACAAACATGTCAGTTTTCAGGACGACACCAGGAGCTCTAACAGGCAGCGGGGTGAAAGCAGCAGTGTCTGGGAGATGCTAGGCCACGTCCTCAGAGAGAGGGGTGTGCCTGTGAGGTTTGGCAGCAATGGGGCGCCACTGCAAATAAGGCCCCAAAGCAGAGATAGCCAGGTGTTTCACGGGAGTGAGGTCTCCTGCGGAGACTCCCAACCACATCAGAGAGTCTTCCAGAGAGCTGCCGCCACTAGGCACAGTTTCCATGGAGATATCAGGGAGAGGAGGAAAATGTCATACAGAGAAAACAGTGGGAGAGATCACAGAGAAGACCGAGACAGGCACCGTAATATTGTGGAGCATGATGGAGAGGTTTATGAGATTAGAAGTGGAGACTCATATCCTGCTAACAGAGATATGGGAAGCAGTACAAGGTGGAGAGAGCACAGATTTACTAACAATGCCGTGAGGGAGAGGAACGCAAGTGATTGCAGGGTCAAAAGGACAACAAGCGAACGCAGTCATTGGCACAAGACCATAGATGAAAGGTTAAGCACAGAGGAGGAGCAGGAGGTGGAGAGGAGAGTAGAGCAGCCCTGCCGAAGAGCCCCACAGCGTAGCCAAAGCGTCAGCAGCAGCAGGGCCTCAACCAGGAATAGGTCAAGGCACATGGCAGCAGGTAACGCCCAGAACTGCAGCCAACTGCAATCTTCAGAGCAAAAGCTTCCAAAGCTGTGCTCCCTACCTCTCTGTGTGAATCTGCTCTTCTGATCTTCCCTCAATCATCGCCTAATCTGGAAAAATTTGGGTTTTAGTGGTGATTTGGGGTCTCTTACTGAATTCCAGTAGTCCTGAAATAATCTTCAGTGTGTGCTTTCATTCTCATCTTCATCCTCATCATCATTCTTCCAGCCTTGATGTTGCAGAAATAAGTCGTATGGAGTACTTTCAAAAAAATCTAGCAACATGCCTTTTCATGCTGCTTCCTCTCATATATTTGTGTGATTCAGAGCACTTCCATGATTCATCTTTGTTTTTCATGTTTGTGTTTTTGTTCTTGTATGTGCGTTGTCATAGTCACGTTATTTCCTTTGAATTTGACACTGTCAAACCTCATCTGTAGGAGGGTCACTGCATCCAGAGCTTGGTGAGGCAAGCTTAAATCTGGGGGAGCTGCAGCAGGTCCTAAAGGATGAAGAACTGGCTCGCAGGCTGCAGGAGGAAGAGGAAAAGCTGTTGAGGAGGGTAAGCGACCCTAGAGTCATGACATACTGCGATTTAGGAGTCAAGGAGATCAGTTTCTGTTTGCATACTTTTTTTTTTTTCTGATTGTTACGGTCTTGTTTTTGCAGAACTCTCAGCCCTCTCCATGTAGCGCTTACCCAGACGGAGACTTCAGAGTAGCACAAGTGGCTCAGGATGAGGTGAGATAATGAATTGAATTGACTTCAGTAGCTATGTATATCATGTTAACATCCATCTGTGGAATAATGTATTATTGTGTTTTTGCACTAGGAAATTGCACATTTCATGCAGAAGCAGGAAATTAAGTCAAAGCGTAGATCTCGTGAGCTAGAAGGGCCGGCATCGTGGCGCGAGCACAGAGCGATGATCAGTCACCATGAGAGACGAGCTACAAGAGACAGACAGGTAAATGTGTTGTAGATATTGAAAAACCGTTTCAGCATCCATAGATGTTCCATGTTGTTGTTATGCATGTCTTTTGAAAGATCCACTTCACTCTTTGACACTACAGTTCTTTCACTTGCCTTGCTGTAATCAATTGTTGTTTTCATGTGCTATATATTTTTTTTTAAATGAGGTTATTCATTGAGTTGGAATCTCCATTGTCCACTGCCTTAGGTCCAACGAGAGAGGCTTGACTCAGAGGGCCTTCCTTCCCCCACTGAGGACTGCTCCCCAGAGAACCAGCCACCCAGCCCCACCTCTACTATACCGTAATTATCTAGATATAGAGTACTTGAAACTGATGGATGTCTGTATTGTTACCATATCTTTCGTCTACGTTACATCCTCACTTACAACTGCTGTGTTTACAGACAAGCCCAGCAGATCAGAAACATTGCGGAAGAGCTGGACCCAACCTTCCAGGCGAGGAGGCAAGGCACAGATAGCCTCAGAGTAGAACAAACAGGTACTTTAAACAGGTCAAATCAGCTCTCAAAATGAAACTGTTAACACAATAGCTGGACACGCACATCCTTTTTTTTTTTCTAAAACAGGTCCATCCTGTCAGTCACTTCCCATGCCTCATTCTGGCTTGCATGAATTCCTCGAGGAGCCTACTTTCATCCCACCCACAAAACGGCAAGCAGACAAATCAGGACGCACTAAACCCAAAGAGAAGAAGGAAAATTGCAAGCAACAATAATTTTCAATACTTTATATACTATATTTTGTAACACTAAATATCAGTTCAGCAGAGTTCTCATTACTTTAAGATTGAAAAGAACAATTTCTCTCTACAGGCTACCCCTACTAGCACTTTAGACCAGTGGAACAAAGAGAAAGAATTGAAAGAAGTGACGTTTTAAAATATTTCTCAAAACTTTGGACTCATGCATTTATATTTGTCAAAGGGAAAATTTATGTTTATTGAAGTATTGTTTGAATTCATCAGTGTTAATGAGTGTTTAATTTAAACAATTTTAAATATTTGTAACTTTTTATTTGTTTTCAATTTGTTAAGCAGTATACCATGACCATCCAAAATGTCAAATGACAAAGTAACTGTGATAACCCTTGACCCCGAGTGACGTAGTTTATGGACAAACTACTTTTAGACATCCACCTTTGGAGTGTCTACCATTTTTTTCAAAGCAGTTTGGCAGGACACCAGCCATGTTTACAGTAATAAAATGACAATCACATTAACTTATTTACCCTTATTAAATGGAAACCACATTTGTTAAAAAAAACATATTACAACCATCCAACTATGTTAAATTGTTTTGTAATATCCAGATGTAAATATATCCTTTGAGGACAGTACAGTATATGTAACAAAGTAATCTAAGCTCAAAGGACCACTTACTAGCTTTTTGGAAGTTTGAGCTCCATCTCACATCAGACGCCAAATACCGTCCTTGAACTGAGATAGGGGTTAGGTCCCCCCACTTATATACATCCAATTGTAACTGACTGAATTTCCATTCTTAAACCACATTATGACACCTGAGCCAGCTCAATTTGCTGAGTGAATCCTTTAAGATGTGGTTAAAAGATCCAGAAAGCTTATAAGTGGACCTTTTTTTTTTTTAAGCTTAGATTATTTGGTATATATCCACCTCATATTTTTGTATATTTTGCCAGCTAGGTTTTAATCAGTCCAGAGACAATTATGATGCCAGTTAACATTATTCATTATACAGAACACTTGCTCTAACATCAGATTTGATTAGATTTTTACACGTTTAACTAATCATTGGTCTCAGATTTTGTTTTTTGTTTGTATGTTCATATTACTTCTATGTTTAAAAAAACTTTTTGTTGTTTGTTTTATTTGTTTTTTACAAATGAAATATGCCACTGTTCACTATGAATGCAATAGTTCTGTATGAAAATGAAACAAATAAATAAAGAAAATATCCATTTTTATTGGGTGTTTTAAAGAGGTACAAAGGTATAAAAAAAAAGACAGACAAGTCATAAAAACATCAAAGGCAGAAAGATAAATTCACATAAATAAGTGCAATTAATCAAGTAACAGTTGACAGGTGAAGTGCTACAGTTCTTTTGAAAGTGTTCCTGTACAACTTATACTGTAATTTGGTATCTCTTCTAAAAGCACCCCTGTGAACTTTGTGGTCTTTCAACAGACTTCACTCAAGTTGTGACTCACTCACTGATGTATTACTATAGGTGTGGGCTAACCTTGCCCACACAGCATATTTCTCAAATGTTCCATTTCAGATACGCCTGCTACAGTTCAGAATACACACGTCTTTGAGAAGCGTTCCACTGAGTCTGTCTTGCTGCCCACTCCATTATGCTAGACAATTAGGCAATAAGGAGTACAGGACTGACTCGGGGGTTTCCACATGACCCTTGAGCTGCATTTTGATGTCCACATAAGTGTGTCCTATTTGTCCCAAGGAATTCCCACATGGTAGGCCTACACTTAATAAAAATCTCAAAAATGTTTTCGCAACATATGACTAATCCTGTTATCTGAAATGTTATCTCAGAGTTTAAATAAGGCATATCCACTGTGCTGCTCATCCAACTCTTGCTCAATAGGCATGTTTCTGCTTGCTAAACCAAAATATCTGCCTCTCAAAAAGACCACAGTACAGTAGGTGTGCAGACTGTACTTTACTGTAGACTCCCTTGAACTTAAACTCAATATCTGGTATTGACAAAAAGGGAAACTCCCTTCACTGGACTTTTTGACACCAATGAAGCAATGGTAGGAAAGTCCATATCATTCCTGGTAATGTAGAGAGGAGGAAGGTACATACAAAGCTGTCCTCAACCTAAAGGCTTTGTTTACAATAGTAGATGTATTGTTCTGTGTACTATTACTTTCACAATTTATAACACAAAGTAGTCCACCTACCGTGGACACATTTAAATAATAAACTAAAACAAACACTATGACATAAACCAGCCCCTGATATATCATATTCAACACATTCAATTGTGAATGAGTCAACATTGTTCTAGTTAAGCTGCTTCAACATAACCAGGGCTATACATGTACAAATTCAACAGTAAACAGGAGGTAAATAGGCTAGACAGTGGAACCTGAATAAAACAAAACATCTATTTAGGGAGCTATATGTGGGCTCATTAGATGTGACTAAAACCTATTGACGGGCTTTTACACAAAGCTGAACACCCACCTGCACTGTACATTCACACACAGCAAACTCTTTACCGCTCAGTCATGCTAATATTACAGTAGTGAAACTCATTCACACTCATTCAAACACTACATTACTATTTTTACACAGTCCAATACCCCAAGTCCAACTTTTTTGAGAGCAGTTTAAAAGAAGTTAAAAGGAAAACAAAAAAAGTTTTTTTCCAGCATTTTCTAAAGGCTATGAGTCTTAATGTGTCAATGTGACAATATGTTGTCTTACCATTAACTGAATCCAGAAATTGTAAACCTTATCTAGTCGCTATAGTTATTTTAAGACCAATCTATTTTCAAAGCTTAACTGAAAGGGAAAAAACACAGCCTCACTGTCTGCTATAATTTGCATGATGAATAGCCTGTTGTAAGTCCACTTTGTTTTTTCCCCTCTCAGAATTCCCCTGCATCATCAAGAGATCACTAGAACTGTATCCTGGTGTAATTGTAGAGCAAAACCCTGACATATCAATATTTTTAGAGTAGCTTCCTAAAGAAAAAGAGTGGACAAAAGACAGCTTGGTGTTCTGTTTCTTTCATTTAGTGAAAGAAACTTTTCATTTTGAAAACAAACATGTCCTCAAAACTTGTGGCTCAGTATTACAAAGAAGGCCCCTATCTTGTTCAGGATATCCTTTTCCTTTTCGCAGAATTCAACAAAACCATAACAGGTATTTCAGTGTGGTAGTCTGGTCCAGTTCCCTTCCATTCATCCAATGAGCTGCTCTGAGGAGTCTTTGGAGTCAAGTGACTCTGTGCTGCTCCCCTGCTCTTGCTGGGCCTCGTGGAAACTGCACTCAATTGCTATTAATGTCTCAGGGTTATCTGAAGAATAAAATGAGTACAGATTAAATACTTTTTCAGTATATTTGTGATTGGCCTGATACACATCCTGTATTATGAATATCCCTCATGTAACATGGTCAGGAAAGCCTGTTCATAATATATCATGAAGTACAGTAGTAATTACCTGTAGGGGTTCTGATTATCTGTGTTTTTGTGATTGTCTTTTTTGTCTTCTTTCTTTTCTGGTAGATTTTCATGCCCACAATGACGATGATGATGGCTAGCAGAAACATGCTGGTGATCCCAGATAAGAACAATGGCCATTCCTGTTCAGTGTGATCTGATACAAAATAGCAAGAAATTATTTTTGGCTTTAAATAAAAATAAGAATTAAAGCTCTAGAGGAATAGAATCATGGTTTACCAGGTTGCTTGGGACGATGTACTGGACTAACTGAAACATTAGCACACTTAATGTCAGTAATTGCAGTTCCCTCGGCCACAATTTCTTGATATGGTTTGGGACACCTAGTAAAAAAAATAGAGTGACAGAAGAATTAAAATTCTTCTTCTGGATTATACAATAAAAATATGGATTCAGTAGCAGATGCTGTTTATAGAGCAAGGTATATCTCACTTGGTACTCCAGGGTTTACACATCTGGTGACCTTGGTCGTTGAAGGTACCATCTGGACATGGTCTGCAAGAACCTGCACAGACAAACATTCAGTTGATTTGCTACTCAGTGTAACCTGTAATGTGAATCAAGAGTGTATGAGCTAAAGTCATGAGCTTATCTTTAGTTTACTTACGTTCCTTTGTAGGTTCCTGACCTCTGTCGCACTTCTTAATACAAAAGGAACAGCGGTCATCACCACAGATGAGTCCTTCTATACAGCCACACTTTGTGTCAGTTGTGGCTGTGCATTGTTTCACTTGGAATTGAGGTCCTACTCATACAAAGAGATGGAAGGAGGGTTGGGAAATAGTGTAATTGTAAAAATTCAGCTTCTAGTACACTACTGGAAAAAATGTCTTATGCACTTTTATGACCAAAAGAATCTGTTAACATACCTATACACTGTGTACACCTTGCACACCTGAAATCTTTAGGTTTCACTGTATATGTATTGGGCTCACAAGGAATACAGAGATCTTTTGGGCTTCGACCACACTCTTTGACCAGGCGGTTTCCTACAAACACAGACACAGAACAGACATCAATAGCTATAGTGTGAGCTCTGTCACTTTAGCTGACATTAGTGTCAGTGAGATTAGCTTATTCCATATTGTAACATAAAGTAAAATGACTAGTTTAAATGTAGCACAGGAAACCTGTAAGAAACTTACTGTTGAAAACAGAAATGTTTTGGGAAAACAACTTTGGCAACCTACAGTTAACAAAACTACTGTTTTGGAATTGTAATGACATACAAGTAAATGTCACAAATCCAAATTATTTGATTTATCAGTTACACAATCCCAGCCTTTTGTCTTTGTTGTGGTATTAGCTGACAAAACCACTGAAACTATATTTGGTTACAAGCAACCACCATGGAGGAAATCTTCAAGATCTGGAATACGTTTTTTTCTTTCCAAAAGCACATTCAACTCATTCTACTATCTAGTTATACAGTGTTTCATTAAGAAGAGTGCTGTTTTTATTTCGATACTTGTAAAACCGTTCAGATATGAATGATACATACAACATATTGACCTGTAGAGCCTTTGTCAAAAACACTCTTCTGAACTAACAGCACATTTCAGCATTTCAAAATCATACATCACACATGTAATTGTTGTTATCTCCTTTATTACTTACCAGGATGACAGATTTCACAACAAACGTTTTCTCCTTTAGGTGTCCATTTCATGCAGCCTCTGTCAGTCTGTCCAACACTGCACAAACTGCTCTGCATGAGCAGAAAGAGACCCATAGCCCACAGGATCACAGCCATACTGTTGTCAGCTCTCTAGCATGAGGTAATCCAATCCAAGAAATTATACCAGGTACCTAATCTGTTGTAAAAAGGCACTTAATATTTTTTGGTTTCTCTAAATCTGTAGCTGTAGTCTAAAATACAGAAACACCCTTAATATCCTTCTTAACCTAAATTCACTCAGTAGTGATGTTTCAGGGTTAAAAATGAATTATGTAATATGCAGAAGTCTCTGTGCTATGAACTCTGTTCACAACTGACTCACAACACACAATCAGCTGAGTATTTTACGCTGCTCTTCTTGGGGGCGTGGCTATCGCGGCATAATCAGAGGAGGTGGCCGTTGTTTACAGCGGTGTTGCTTAACAACTATAACATGTTTGCATTTAGTTTTGCTCATTAAAAAAATATATATATTAAAATTCACATACAGCAAAAGTGGAAATATCAGTATATTAATATAATATAAGTAAGAAGAAAAGAAAGAAAAGAAAAACCATTATGAAACAGATCACATTGCAATATTCTGTTTTCTCACTGCTTTTCTCTCAGTGCTGATTTTGGCTCAATAGACTTCCTGATCATTTCTGGTGTGTTTATTATGTGGATTACTGATTTTCTTACTTGGCTCCTGGCGTGTTGCTATCAAACCAGTTCCACATTGTTCATTTAAACCGTTGGCAGATTCTACAATGAGACACTTACTTAAAGATTTAGATCACAGCTTTGGACTTGTTATTGCCGCTAACTTGCTGCACTTGTTCGTACCTGCTAAACCACAGTTCATAGGTTGTGATAACAAACTGGCGTGTTATAAATTGGTTTGTGTCATACAAGCATTGCTGTGACTTTTTCGTGGACTGAACTGTACTAGAATACATTTGAATTGTTTGTGTTTGTGGGTGCAGGTGGCACATTGGCTCTTTTACAGTAGCCAAATGTAACATGAAGTGACGTTTTCAGAAGGGCTGTTTTTGTTTGAGCAGTTGTACTTATCATACCAGAGTAAATGTTAGTAACTGTACTTTAGCTTCAATCTTCCTGGCCTCTTTGATATGTAAATTCCACTGTAGTTTCATTTTATTTAGTCAATGCCATACTGCATGGTTTGTTAATCAAAGCAGAGACCGGGGTTTAAACTGTTTGTTTGTGGGATGGGACTTTCCTGTGTTAAATCATTGTCTCAAGGGAAACAATAGAGATTGGAACCATAAAACTTATTAAGAAGTTTTATTGCTTTAAAAAAAAGTTATAAAAACTTTGACAGGTATTTTTCAGTATAAAATGGTATTTAAGATAGTAGCCGAAAAGGAAATATCACATTATTTGCAATAGAGGAAGTATCATTGTTATTGAGTCCATGTGATTAATCCTGATTAGTCATGTTACAAGTTACTCTTGCAAACAGTCACGAGTTTCGAGGACCCAAACTGAAAAGTTTTGAATTTTCCTCTATCTGCTCTTATCGCCTGCTATAATGAAGTTACTATATGTCTGGTGACACACACATTTCTTATTATAGGGAAACTGAAACAAAAAGCATGCATGAATACTTCTCTGTACTAAATTGAAAGTGTGGCATTATAAAGATTATTCATTCATTGAGTGACCTTCGGTGCATGATTGATGTAATCTTTCCCAAAAGAAGGTCATATTCATTTCCTTTTTAAAAGCAACTTGTGTTTCCTTACGGTAAGTGCTCATTGGACTTTTGGAAAACGGGAAATTTGCTGAATAACGATGAGATAAATGCGCCTTAACCTGAAAAGTCCATTCTAAGGGTCATAAAAGATGCTCTCATCCTCTGACTCAGCTTAAATCCCCACACTTAGAAAGTAAAAAAAAAAGGTCACATCAGAACCACAAGATGTGCCTGCCGCATCATGCTTGTGATGCATCATGGTCTTATGACAAGTGACAAGTCATTGACATTTGTTGTTTTGTAGTTTTTCACTTGTCGCTCTGACATTCAGTCTCAGCCTACCAGAGTTCGCCTACTTCGACAGTTTACGCATGTTACCTGAGGCTCATGCCAAAAGTCAGCACCTCAGCAGCCTACGCACCCTCACCCTGGCCAAGAAACACCTCCCACACTTACCTTCAACCTCCCCCCTACAATTTAGCTATGAAGCACAGTAAACCCCAGCAGCCCGATTAACATACTTGGGAAATACGTTTTGAGTTGTTCGGCAGTGCTGTTCATTCTGCTGGTAAATGGAGTGAGTGAGCGTGTGTGTGTGTGTTTGCATGTAGGCTGACATGAGAGTCAACCTGCAACTATGTCAGTTGTGACAGAAGTCAGCGTCAAATCAGGACTACATGTTTTCACTTTAACTTGCACTGTGTGTCATAAAGATGGTGCCGGCGATCACACGTCGTCGCGCTCTTCTGTGGGCAGCAGGGTGCTCTTTAATCTGCCTCCGCGTGCGAGGGCGTCATAAAAAGGCCCTGACATCATTTCCTTCCTGACAAACGTCTTATAGCCAACACTTATGTGCGGAGGGGAGGGGAGGTGACACCAGTTTACGTCAACGTCTTTAAACACCTTTGGTTGGATGGGTCAAAGGCAAAAAGGGGGGTCGGACTGAATTTAGCAGCAGTTGAGGCTTTTTGAGAGAAACGATGACTGGGAAAGTACAAGAGCTGCAGTGGTGCTCGGAAGTTCCACTCAAGGGTGTAAAGTGTCAGTGTGGTTGACAAATTTGGTGTTGTGGGGATGTTATACTTACAGTGAATGTGTAGGCTACTTTATTATAGGCATCTACTGGCTTGAACACTCATTGGTCAGCATGTAGACCTTTTGAGAAATGACCACATGGACTACTTAATGGTGTGAGCTCAGTATTTTAAATGTTTCTACCTAATTCCAAATAATTCTAATTTAATTTAATTATTGCCTGCAGTTATCTCTCAAAATATATTTTAAATGTCAAACTTGAGGAGTGAATTGCACATTAAATGTCTCCATCTAGTGGTCCAGCTAAAAAACACAAGAGAGAAAAGTGCACACTTTTTTTTAACATATATATTTTTATTCATATATATAATAAATTTCTATGTACAATTTATTCTTCTTTTGTAAAGAAACAAAATTAAAAAGAAAGCTTTGATTGCAAACAGTGTTTCATACTAAAGGGAGGGAGAGACAAAATGGAAAAGTGCTCAAAAAACTAGTGTCTGTTGGTTATTTCCCTCCTGTAACTATATTTTAGGTAGATACAAGAGGGGGTTACCATTGTTTTGCAAGGAGACCAGAATCTGAAGGCCAGGATTCCCCTTGAAGTCACTTTGAAGTTGTAAAATGAGAAGTGCCAGATGATAATCATGAAGAGATCTAAATCACTGACAGCTCCTACATTATTAAGAAATATCCACCACACAACGTGAGGCTTTGGCTTTCATCGCACTAACTCTTATCCAAGCTCACGCTCACTACGAAGGAAATGAGGCAAACTGGTTTATTTCATGTTAACTCTTTGCGTTCGCTTTCACAGCTGTGGTGGGTGTCCACTGTTTGCAATCCTGTTTGTAAGTTGATTTGCTTACTTAAATGTGTTATGGATGTCAGGGTATCACTGATACCTAATAATGATACATTCGACAAAGCACAGCTAGGACAGTGGAAACTGGCCACTGATTCACAAAGGGTGATGTCTGATTGTCTGTCAGTCAGCCGCAGTAGACAAAGTATGACACCATCAATGCAACATGATCACATAAATAACATCACAAAAATCATCCAGTGTACGGATTCTTCCTTTAGAACATTGGCAAGAGGTAAATCCTCCCCCCAATAATGGTAATACTTTAAACAAAATGTATTAATAAAATTTCTTTTCTTTAAAGCAGTTGAGACAGTCATGCAATATGCAGCCTAGTTAAACTAATGGCTGGCTACAGGGCCTCCCTTATGAAGTCGAAAAAATCCACGGATCGTGAACTGGTGAAGGTTAGCGTTTTAGTAGTTGGCAGGTAAGAGCTTAAATAAGCCGGTGGCAATGCCACAGTATAAAGGAAATGGGGCCAGAGGTTTGGTGTAACGTGCTAAATTGTATCAGTACGCACAGATATAAGTCAAGAGAACAATTCCAAGTTCTAGGCCCGGAGAAATGTTCCTAAGTGCGGGCTGTAGTTGTCGGTCTGGGTCTGGGGGATTGAGATCCAGGCCCAGCCAGCTTAAAGGTCTTGCAGAACAGAAAATATCCTAGGTAAGGTACACACTCCCAAGAATGTCTGCGTGGCAGCTTTAAAGAATCACCACACTGAATACCACTCACGTTTCACAAACTGTACACGTCACGTCAATACAAAAGAGGGTATTCGGCCACAGAGGATCCGTGCTTGTGTGTGAGACGACGATCTCCTGTTGTGCACTTGCTGCCTGTATTCCTTTGCTCAGACATCAGAGGGAAAGACGGATAGCAGGGGGGTACGTAGAGGGCCAGTCAGTGTGTACACTTCTGAACTTAGTGACAGTCAGAGGCAAAGGATTGAGAGGGGGTTGACGGGGGTTGACAGGGGTTTGGGGAGAATTGTTTTGTGCTCGATTCGTTTTAAAGGCACTGTCCTGTCACATGATGTCAACAAAAAACTCACAGGGATTGCCCATAGCATGCTGGAAGGACTGGCGACTGGCGGTGAGCTCAGGAGGAACGGCTGCTAACTCTCTCCCAGGAGGGGCTCCGGGGGGCGTGCTGCTGCTGACCGAGGTCTTGGGGGCCAGACGGGCCAGACAATAAGGGGGAGGCAAGCCTGGGGGGCCGTATGAGGACGCATGGCTTCGGTCGCTGTGGGCACATGAGCCTGGCCCCGGCTGGGTGAAGGGGGCGTGGCTGTAGGTGAAGGACGGGTGGCTGTTCTGTGAGACAGAGTGACTCCTGTGTGACTGACTGTGACTGAGACTTGATCTGGTGTGACTGTGACTGGAGACGGTGTGGCTGTGATGGCTCATTTGGCTGGCGGACCTATCACCGCGCCTCCCTCCACGGACGCGGGGCTCTGATTCGCTGCATGTTGACCTTTGACCCTTCTCCTGTGGGGAGGAGCGTCTACCTTTGCCTGCGCTGGGGTTGGATCCACTGCTTCGGCTTCCTGGTGAGGAAAAAAAAACACAGACATTTAAGCTTGGCCTTCCACAGTACAAGAACACTTAACAAATACAAAGTCCGCAGCTCCAACTCATCAGCTACAGCTGATTTAGACCACCTGGTTTTTCTACTGATTAATATTAAGGCAGGTCACACAT